AGCAACTTGATGGCACATAACAACAACAACATATACTTGGAAGTGGAATGATGTTGCTAGGTGCTGTCAAGTCAAGTGTGGCTCTTAGCGACCCTGTGGACAACAGATCTGAACCCTGTCCTACCCTGTGCTGTCCTCACACTATCTGAAACACTCGTTGCCATTGCGTAGTCACGGTGTCACTTCACCTGGCTGGGTGACTCTCCATCTTTCTCCAGTGAATAGCTTCTCCTAGCAACATGCCCAAAGCATGTGAAAGAGTTGTCATCACTTTTGCCTCCAAGGAGCACTTTGGTTGTACCTTCTCCAAGAAGTATCTGTTTGTTCTTTTAGCAGTCCACAGGCCGCTCCTCACAACATGTCCAAAATATATGAGGCGAAGCTTCATCAGCTTCACCTCCAAGGAACGTTCTGCTTGTACTCTTTCCAACACACACCTATTTGTTCTTTCAGTCGTCCATTGGGCTAGTCAGCACTCTTCTCCAATGCCACAACTCATCAAATGAGTCTGTTGTCTGCTCTTTAAGGGTACAACTGGCCAGGCTTTGAGGACACAAACCTGCCAAAGAAGTGGCCTTCTAGTGTATTCTAATTTGAGGAGACCCCATGTGAGCTACAACCCACTGGTCTTCAAGGGCTATGTGATCCTTGGGAAGCAGCCCACCAGGGTGTAATTCCTTACTGGTGGGAGTCTATAAACTAGTTTAACATTTGTTTGTTTGGGCTTTTTTGTTGTTGTTGTTAAAACACTTGGGGTTTGTTTGTTTTTAAATTTTTTTTATTATTATTTATTCTGCTTCGTCTGACATACTCTGGACATGTGGTAAGGAGAGACAGGTCCTTGGAGAGGGACATCATGCTGGGCAGAGTGGAGGGACAGCGCAGGGGAAGACCCTCTATGAGGTGGATTGATTCAGTGACTGGGTAATCGGGATGGGTGTGTCAGAGGCAATGAGATTGGCACAGAATAGAGCTGGGTTTAGGGCTGTTGTACATAGGGTCACTATGAGTCGAAAGCGACTCAACGGCACATAACAACAACAACAATGTACAATCAAATCGGATCTGACTGGTACAGGAAGAGATTGTCCCTCATTTTCAGCAGAGCATCTGGTGGATTCAAGGTTATTGTTTTTTTTTAAGTTTAATCTTTTTTGAGGACACCTGTCCAACTTTATTAACAATGCATAAAGGATACCATTTGAGCCAGAGAGAAAAACATTCACTAAATTGCTACTTTGTTGTTGTTGATTGCCTTCCAGTAGAAAGCTAAATACATCAAGAGTTTTATTGTTTACTAGATTATTGGAATACCTATAATCCATGTGTTGACTGAAATCCTGTGAGAAAAGATTAAGGGTGTGTGCGTAATGACTCTGAATATTGTAAATCTGGGAGGACCACGTAGGAATTAGAAGTCAGAGATGGGAGGAAGCTTTCTGTGTGGCCGGTTGTAAATCGCGTTTTTGTAGTTACTTGTAGGCAAGGACAGGTTGGTGTGGACAATGCAGATCTTGGTGGCTGAGCCGTGCTACCAGCCTAAGGCTGTTGGAAGGCAGAGCTTCCGCGGGAGAAAGTTTTCTTCGCAGCAGTGGGTTTCAATCACTCCAATTTCTGTTTCTCCCCAGGCTTTCTTGCCCAGGCCCCTCTGAATGCTCCCCAATTGCTCTGAACCCCTTTTCACACAAGGGCGCGCTTGAGCCGACAGAGGGCGCCAGAGGGCCGCGCGGAGCCCCAGAGGGACGGGGCGTCCCGGGCCGGGAGGCACCCCAAGCCCAGGAGGCCGCCTGGCCGCAGCTCCCCAGCGGACGCCGCCCACTTCCGGGCGGACCTGACACCACAGCATCAAAAGTGTCACCTGGCTCGCGTCCGGGAGCCGGTCCGCGGTCCGGAGGCCCCACCCAAAGCCTCCTCCCATGTCACAGGTCTCCAGGAGAGGGGAGAGGAATTAGATTAGAGGGGTCAGCAGCCCCCTCTAATCTGAGACAGGCCCATCCCCCTCCCTTCCCCTGCAAGGTGCAGAGGACCCTTCCCGGGGAAGGAAAGTGAAAAGCTGGGGCCCAGACTTTGGGTGCCTCGCACCAGGGGCCCCTGTCCAACTCCGGACTATCCAGCTAAAGGTCACTGGCCTTTTACAGCTGAAAAAACGGGCTCAGACAGGCTGGCTGAGCTCGGGAGGGAGCCGGACGCTGTCCTTTCATTTCCCTAGATAACTTCCTCCAGTCAAGATTCACTCTCCAACTCTGATTGATTCATTAAGGGATCGAAAATCCAGCTAACTATACCTCTGTGCACTCATGGGACCTGTGGAAGAAAAAGGTTTGGTAACCTGCTTCCAAGGGGCTCTCAGCCCAGAAAACCCTATCGGGCCGTTCCAGTCTCTCCTGGAGTCATTATGAGTTAAAATTACAGGAAGGCAACAACCCACGTTTGTTTCATGATCTGATTCTTCCAACACGCCTATTGTGATTTAGAAAATGGGCATTGCTGTATAGTATTCCACGCTCAGAGAGGCTAGAGCAATTTTAATACGCCATTCCATTCCACTTTGGAAGATGGCACAGAAAGGACAAGGTTTCTTTCCCCACCACAACTGGGGTCAATACAAGTGGAAGCTGGCTCGATGAATAGAAGTCAGGCGTGGGAGGAAACTTAGGTAGTTGTAAATTGCATTTTTGTCATACAAAGGCAAGTATGGAAAATGTAAAACATTGATGGGTGAGCTGTGCTTTTAGGAGACGATCTTGGGTGGGTGGAACTCACCTGTGGTTCTGCCTCTAACAACTCTGAGTCAACTGAGTTGATTCAGAAATTGTGCTTTTTGAAATAAGGATGCTTTTGGATCTTCTCTACCTTTTTCTCTCTCTTTACCTGGGCACACAATGAAGAGTTTGGAGCTGAGTAGCAATTCTCACTCTAGGCTGCTTCTAAGAATCACCTGAAGAGTTTTTGAAAAGGCAGTGGCTGGAGGCTCCACCTCCTGTCTAATTAAATCTGAATGACTGTGGGGGTGAGGCCCAGGTGTAGGTGTTTTGAAATGTTCCCTCAGGCAATCTACTGTGTGGCTCGGGTGGGGAAGTTCTGGATGCTGTTTTCCTGTGAATGTGAATCTTGGGAGAAATTCACCTGTTCCCATTGTAAATTGATGTCCACCTTGTCCAGTGTAGCTGTGTCCTTTGACATTCCTGCCCATGTGGAACAACCCTCCCCCCTTCCCTCATATCCTCATCAATATTTGATATTGACCAATTTTTTCTTTTTTGCCATTCTAGTATGTGTTAAATGGTGTCTCAGAGTGGCACTTTTTTTTTCTTCTCATTTCTCTGTTTACCCATGAGGTTGGGCAGTTGGTGAAGTTGATACACAGAGACAGAGAATGAAGAGGAACTAGAGTCAGGGGAAGATCTCGGTTAAGAGAGTTTTAGGGATGGGAGGAGAGGATGAGGAGAGGTGCAAAGGTCCTGTGATAGGAAAGGGCTAGGACATTGAAGGAACAGAAGGTAGGCTGGGAGGAAGTCTTTGTGAGAGTGGGTCGTAATCAAGGATCCAGTGGTGAGGACATTGACTGGGAGAGTTTTGAGCAGGGTCAAGGTGTGGCTGTGGAGGATCCTGGGAGAGGTTGCATGCTGGGTCAGCTCTGTGAATACGTGCTTTGCCTGTCTCCCTGCTCCATCCCCCTCTCACCAGCTAGAGGGTAAAGACCAGAGTGTTTTGTTTACTGCTGTTATCCCCAGCACCTAGTGACCAAAACTGACAATCATCCCTGGGGGTTTTCAGAAGACTTGTTCCACCAGTGGAACCCAGTCAGGCAGGGCCTGGAGGTTCATTTCTGGGGCCCCCACCCCCAGTCTGGTGGGCTCACAGGAATGCTGATGGGAGAGCACAGCTGGCTCCTGGGCCCACCTGGGTCTCAGTTTGTCCTGTGGGACCCCTACAGGGCCCTTTGGATACAAGAATCACAACCCTCGCTGAGGATGGTGAGGGCTTCTCCGGCCTCCTCGGTCGAAAATCCCACCCCAGCTCCTCTGGGTTCTAGGGACAAAGTCCAAACTGACTTGGGAGGTATCTCTGGCCCCTCGTGGCCTTCCCACCCCGCCCTGGGAGCTGTCCTCAAAGACTCAAGTATTTGTGGATTCTTACTGCGAGCCTTTCCCCTTGATATGCTTCGCTTCCTGCGGGAAGTCGCCCCGACCCCCCGTCAGGTGACCCGCCTCTAGACTGTCACTGCGCCCTGTGGCCTCATCAAAGCACGCTCCGCTCTCGCTAGAGCCGCCTGTTTCCTGCGTCTGTCTCCCCTATCCGGACTGAGAGCAGCCTTTCGTTCCCAGCACGTCCCGGGCGCAGAAGGAGCGCCTGCGTCTGGCTACGCGCACCGACCGCTCTGCGTAAAGGCCGTGGCCCTCTCCGGTGCCTGCAGCCCGTGAGCGCCCTCGCATCCTCCCCAGCGAGGCGCAGAGGCCTCCGGTGGTCCCCCACGTCGGTGCGGGGCGCCGGCCGCGGCCAGGCTGCAGCCCCTCCCCAGGCCCCAGGCCCAGGCGGGGGTCGAACATCAGGTGTCCTCGAGGGCGGCGCGCAGCGCCAGGGGGCGCCAGAGGCGCTCCGACCCGGGGCACTGAGCGGGAGGGCGCGCAGGGTCCCGACGAGGCCCAGGACGAGGCCCCGGCTGGCCGAGGGTCCCAGCGCCGGGACCCCTGCACCGCAGCCGGGGAGGGAGGGCACCCACCGTGCTCTGGACACCCCACCGCGAGGCCGCTCCCAGCGCCACGCGGCGCGTACCCCGCCCGCCCCCGGCGCACCTGCCAGGGGCGTGGCTTCCGGCGGAGGCTCCTCCTATTGGTCCAGAGGTGACAAAGGGGCCTGGTTTTCAGCGGTCCCCGCCCCTCCTGCATATTTAAAGGCGTCGCTCGCACGTCGGTTCTTCTAGCGCTGCTCCTCCGCTCCGGGCTCGGTGCTGCCGCCACTCCCTACGCGACCCAGCCACTCCCGCTGTTCCGACCACCATGCCGCGCTCTTTCCTCGTCAGGAAGCCCGCCTGCTCCCGTCGGAGACCCAACTACAGTGAGCTGCACGACTCGTCGCCGGGTGAGTGGACTGGGGTGCCGGACCCCGGGAAGAGTTCTGGGAGGCAGGCGCAGACCGCGCAGGGGGAGCTTTGGGGTGGGGGGGAGAGAATTTAGGACTCAAATCAAGGGTGGTGTGACGGTCGAAGAACCCTGCACGGGGACGTGTGGCAAGGAGGCAGGTGTACCTGCGAGCCCTGCAGGTGGGCGGCCGCTGGGGGAGGGGTGCAGGGGGCAAGGGTCTGGGGCAGGAGGGAGTTTTTGTCCAGAGGAGTTTAAAGGGTACAGAGCCCCGGGAGTGGAGAGGGGCCCAGTGGCCGTGTAAATCCTGCCCGCGCGCTAGGCTGGGCAAGAGGGACTGGGATGGGGCTGGTGGCTCCGTGAGCTTGAACTGAAGAGACTGGGGGCGAGGGTGCTGGGAATTTGGGGAGTCAGGAGGAGAGACATGGGAAGGTGTGTGTTTCAGTGAGGTTGGCGAAGTTGGGTGGTGGTCCCAGTCCACCCAGACTGCACCCCAGCACGGCTGCGTTGGGCGAGATCTAATGCGGGCCTCTTCTCCCTCTTACCTCGCAGAGTTCACCTTTCAACAGCCCTATGACCAGGCCCACCTGCTGGCAGCCATTCCGCCTCCTGAAGTCCTCAACCCCAGGGCCTCGCTGCCCACCCTCATCTGGGACTCCCTGCTGCTGCCCCAGCTCCAGCCCAGCGCCTGGGCCTCCCTGCGGCCCCAGGAGGGCCCGAAGGCGGCCGAGCTGACCTTCCTGTCGGACGAGGACAGTGGGAAGGGCTCGCAGCCCCCCAGCCCGCCCTCCCCGGCGCCTTCGTCCTTCTCGTCGGCCTCAGCCTCATCGCTGGAGGCCGAGGCCTTCACCGCCTTCCCTGGCCTAGGCCCGGTGCCCAAGCCGCCGCTGGCCGTGCTCGCTGGGACCAAGGACCCTCAGGCCCGCAAGGCCTTCAACTGCAAGTATTGCGACAAGGAGTACGTGAGCCTGGGCGCCCTCAAGATGCATATCCGCAGCCACACGCTGCCCTGCGTGTGCGACACCTGCGGAAAAGCCTTCTCCAGACCCTGGCTGCTGCAGGGCCACGTCCGGACCCACACAGGTGAGTGCCCTGGAGGCTGCAGGCCCTGCTGCCCCCGCAGGGATTCGGAGCCCGGGATTGCGCTGCTCTTCAGGGTGGGGAAACCGAGGCCGCGGGTCTCCCGAGAGCCGGCCCCAGCGATTTGGAAATGTTTGGTGGCAGAGATGATGGCCATCAGGTTCATCCAGCCAAGCAGATGGGCAAAGTAGCTAAGCAAGCGCACAAGTGCATTCTGCGACCTGTGTTTCTCAGCCAAGCACCTTGGTGTTGGCTATGGGAAAGGTGTAACCAACACCTTGCTTACCTAGCCAGGTGTAAATGAGCCCACCCTCCCCCAGCCAGACAGGATGCTATCAGACCTTCCCACCCAGCTCTGAGTCCTACTTTGGAAATTCCTTGAACTTTGGCCTGGTTTTCATCTCTCCAAGCCTCAGTTTCCCCATCTCTAAAACGGGTATAAGCACGTTGTGTGAAATGAGAGAGCAGCACTCAGTAGGTAAGAAGTGAAAAACGGTAGTTGCTGTTCGCTCCACTTCTGTGCTGTGTAACCTTAATCAGTGAACTCAGAAATTCAGATTATGGTAATACGTGTCTGCTGGGTGGCTGTGAAAATTCCACAGCACCTTGGTGGCTTTACAGGTTTTTGTTCCTGTGGGTCTCAGATCTCCTGAGGTGGACAAATGTAAGCCTGTCATCCAGGATGGAGAGTATTCATGTCTTGGTGCTTGAGAAAGTAATATCAGATGTGCAGTAAATGAAGAAATGGAGGAGAAGGGACCCCATGGTCTTTTAAGGACTTGAGTGGTGGAGGCTGTGGTTGCTGCTAGTTGGAGAGCAATGATAGAAGGTTCAAAGGTCATGGCTGAGGGAGCTCTGGTGACCTTGTGGCAAGAAGCTGCGCTACAATCCCCAAGAAGCGCGGTTCGAATCCCCCAGATGCTCCGTTGAGGAAAGAGGGGAAGGCTCCTGTACCAGTAGTATCTGATTCGATAAAGGAAGGAAAAGGAAAAAGGTCATGACTGGTCAAGCTGGCCAGATTGGAGACTCAGCACTCCACTTCCGGGTCCTGTGGCTGGCCCTAAACCATGAGAGTTAGGGTAATGTTTTAGGGTTGGTGCTTTGCAGGCGTAACCAGTATTATTATGACTTAGTAAGTGGCACTGCTTACAGACTTGTACACAAATAGGCCACATTTTCGCATGTCCAAAGGTCTCGCTTCCCTGGTCACCAGGCTGCCCAACCAACGGACAACAGAAGCCCTATTTTAGGAGAGTCACAGCCCTCTGGTCCCCCAGCTTCACTCCCATCTGCTTTTTTTTTTTTTTTTAATGTAAAGGAACGACCAGGGCACAAAAGCCCTGTTGAAATGCACCCTTGGTCTCCTCTTGGACTCCCATTGTGTGCCTTAATGGTGGGCCCAGTGGGGGGGTGAGGAGGGAGCTGGGAGCAGGTGCACGGGGCAGCGGTGCCCTGCACCTGTTCCGGCCGCAGCTGCCGGCCTGCAGTGTGGCAGGCCCCTTTAATCCAGGGGGTATCACATGTACAGTGTCCCCCTTGGCGGCCTTTGTCCCCGCCGGCTTGGTGCTGATTTCACACTCGCCAGCAGCATGGGGTCCGGGGGTGGGGGCTGGGAGGGGTGGAGGTCTGTCTGCTGCGCACTTTTTGGAGGCCTGCCTCCATTTTGTCCAGGTCTGGTTTTGGGAATAGATGAAGTGACTGCACTGCCCACAGCATTATGTTTACTTGTAAACTTGCTAAGAGTTGAGGGAGGGGCCGGGAGAGAGGTAAAGTCACTTGCCAGGTCACGCAGGTCCTTGGGATTGGAGCCTGAGCCTGGTCCTGACCTCTGGCCACCTGGCTTTTCTGTGCTCTAGGGGAAAGGGACTCCACCCTTGCTCCCTGATCTGCATACAGTATGAGTTTAGATAAGCACGTGGTGTACAGGGAGTGAGTGGAAGGACTTCCCTGGGACCCTTTTAGATGCATCACCCCCCTCAGGCTGTGGTGGTCCTGTGATCAGGTCCCAGACCAGGGTACCTTCTTCCTCAATCTTGTGATTGAGCTCAGGGTAGAGCCTGCTCTGGGGCAGGTGCTCATCAAATACCTGCTCAGTGGGTGGGTCTCCCAGGCAGCTTCAGGCACCTGCCTGCTCTTTTCCTTTACAGCCCAGCACCCAGCATGTGCCCCAGGCTCCCTGTGGGCATATTCATTCTTCCAGGGATTTAAGCGATGGGATGTCACCTGAGGGCACATTAGGCTGGGAAGAGAGAAGAATGTGTTTGAAAAGTCTTGTCCTCCAGCACTTCTTGTCACAACTGAGCTCAATTCCTATTTGCTTAGTGGATAGTTATTTTAATAGGTAATGGGACTTTTAATTTGGAATATGTTCTGCCTCCTTTTCCCACCAAAGAAAAACTCCATAAAACAACACTATAGTTGGTTCTTTAAAGATTATAAAGCTTCATCTCATATATCTTGGGCATGTTGTTAGGAGAAGCTGTTCATTGAAGAGGGACAGCATGATTGGGAAGATGGGCGCAGGACAAGAAAGACCCTCAAGTAGATGAATTGGCACAGGATTCAGGCAGGGTTCATTGGATCGCTGTGAGTTGTATTTGATGCAACAGCACCTAAACCAACATAGATGTTTCTGTAATGTATACTGTGTTCTCTCTTGGTTGGGGCAGGAGTTAGAAAAAGCTGGCAAATAGCATTATTTGGCAAGGCAGTCTGCTCCTGGTCTTATTTATAACCTTGGAGACCCGATAGAGAGTTCCCTTGGGTTGGTATCAATGGCAATGGTTTGGGTTTGGCTTTTCATTCATTTCTCTAAGGAGCCCTGGTGATGCACTAGTTAAAACACCAAAACATTGGTGGAAATCCACCGTCTCCTCCTGGGAAGGTTACAGCCTTGGAAACTCTGGGCGTCTACTCTGTCCCTGGAGTCGTTTTGGACTGGAATCCGCTCAGGGACGATGAATTTTGTCTGTGTGTGTAATTCATTCCATAAGCATTGGTTGAGAGCCTACTGTGGACCCTGCCCTGTATGACTTCCTAGTACGCCCTGTGTCAGGCAGAGCGATGGTAGGTCAGGACTGAGGAAGGCATTTTAAACATTTCTATAAGGAAGCAGTTCTCTGTAGCATCTTTCAGGGTCTAGGGACCCAGACTCTGGGTTGGAGCCTGAAACTTCATGCAGGACATGAGAGGCCCCTGCCCTTATGGCCTCTGAGTCTGTAAGGGGCGGTCACCCCAGTGACCATTATGATGGCGGATGGCCTGACTGCCGGGGCCAGGGAGGCCTGTTAAGTCTGTCCTCTGATAACTGCAGGAAGTGCTTGTACTTCGCCTGATCGGAATCCCGGCAGCAGCTCCCTGGGCTGAGCGTGGAACTGTGGGCCACTGGTGGATAGAGTCCAGGTTCTGGAGCCCGCCCCCACCCTGCCTGAGACCCAGAAGATGCTACACAGCCACTCTGGGCCTCGGTTTCAAAGGCTGTAAAACAAAGACGATGCTAGCTTCCTTGGGGTGATGCTGATGAAATGAAATCACTGTAGAACCTTGGCACCATCCTGATGGTCACTGCCTGCTGAGTACTTCCGGTGTGCTGGCACAGGGCCAGACAAGTCTTATCGGACCTTCCAGCAGGCCCGGGCCCAGCTCCTGGGAGTTGAGCACCAACAGGCTCATTTTACAGCCACACTGCTTGCCCAAGGTTGCCCAGCAGCAAGGGCTTGTATCCCCGATTGCATGTAGACCTTGGGCCTTGTGGTGAACTGTGTGAGCTAGACTCGCTCTTACATGGGAGTAACTGGAAGGTGCCCGAGAGCTACAGTGAACTTGTCCAGCTTGAGCAAGCGAAAGATGCCATGCTCTGGGAAGAGCGCGCGGTGGACAATGATTGCTCCTCGGTGCCTCTGATGTGACTCCATGGGGTCTTCCCCTCTCTCTCTCTCCAGGTGAGAAGCCCTTCTCCTGCTCACACTGCAACCGCGCCTTCGCCGACCGCTCCAACCTGCGCGCGCACCTGCAGACACATTCTGCAGTGAAGAAGTACCAGTGCAAGTCGTGTTCCAGAACCTTCTCACGCATGTCCCTGCTGCACAAGCACGAAGAGTCGGGCTGCTCGGGGGGCCCCCGAGGACCCTAGAGGCACCCCTGCAGCAGCCTCCCCCACCTCGAGCAGGAAAGACTCCCACAGCCTCTTCACAAGATTCCCCTTTGAACACACCAGTCCAGCTGTGCTGGCCCAGCTCTAAGGAAGAGCCCTGTCGGGTGGTCAGGGAGCCTCGATGGGCCTTTGGCCAGTGGGTGGCCGGCTTGCAGTGGACACAGCCCTTGCTCCGAGTGTAGCTGAGGTGATGGCCTGTGTGGGTTTGTCCCCAGTGCTGCCTTGACGGAAGACAGCAGACAGACTGGGAGTCACCCACCCCACTCAGGAGACCCCACTCCTTCTTCCCCTTGCCAAGGAACCCCCAGGCCACCGCTGCCAGGTGTGTGCCTAAACTATGCAATAACCCACCCCCAGGTGCATCTGAGGGGCCAGGACCCCGGGACAGTGCAGACCCCGCAATGCCCCAGGGAGGGGCAGCTCTCTAGTCCCTGTTTGTCAAAGTAGCACCTGTTTCACAGGCAATTTAGCAGCTTCTCAAAAGGGACAGTAATTGCCTTCACTTGCTGGAGGCCCAGGCAGGGTGCCTCTGCCTGACCAATGTGTCTCCCAGAACTGTTTTGGGGGCCCAACAGGTGGGCCTGAAGGAAGATGTTTACATTTTTTTTTTTTAAAAGGTACACTGGTATTTATATCTCAAGCAACATTTTGTACTAAGGAAACATTTTGTATAGTAATATGTACAGTTTATTGATATTCAATAAAGTGGTTAATTTATATTTAAAAAAATGTCAACTTGGTTTTATAGAAGGGTGGGGATTTTAAAGGGGCTTTGAGGAAGGCCCCTGGGAGGTACAAATGGATTGTGTTTGGCTACTAACCTGTAACGTTTCCAGTGCTAACCTCCTAGGAGTGCCGCCTAGGAAAGGCTTGGCTGTTTGCTTCCAATCTGACAGTAACAGTTTAGTTCGCGTTTTTCTGGTTTAAGGAGAGAGAGTGGGGCTGGTGCTCAGATACTTCAGCCACAGCTCTTGATGGCGTCTTAGGAAACATGACTTTGAGAGTCCCAAGTTTGACTCCTGAGTAAGATGGTTTTCCTGAGGCCCTCTGTGTTGAGTCCTGTCGTTAAAATGACCGTTTGGAAATCCCTTGCTGGGCTGGGGTGACGTGGGCAAGTGCCTTACATGCTATACATCCTAAGCTATTTATCCCCATTCTTGCATTCTGAAGCTGACCAGGCCCAGAGGGCGAAAGGCCAGCTTCCCTGGGTCTTATCAACTAGACAGGCCCAGTGCTTTGTTCCAACAGAGCAGGTCTTTTGGGAGCGATAGGCTGCTGCTTCTGCACTCAAGAGTGGAATGAGGATGTCCTTCCTGTTTCCAGGGCCCTGAGCCTGCTTGGGCCTCCCTGGCGGGCCCACACCTCTGTCTGGCTGCCCGGTACCAAATGGCCTTTGATGCAAGGAAATTGGCTGACTGGAGCCAGGAGGGTGAGAAGCCAAGCCAAAGGGTCGGGGTCACACTGCTTCCTGCTCTGAGGAGCCAGGGGAGGAGCTAGGGATGAGGGTCAGCTTGCTTTTCTGGGCTGGGATAATTCCCTCCAGGCCATCCATGGTGACTTCACCTCTAGGGGCTTCCTGGGGCCCAGGAGAAAATGAGGGTCCTTTTAACACAGAAGGTGCTGAAGGTGCCAGCTTTCTCAGAAGGGTAGCAGAGCTACAGAGCCCTAGTCAGGCTGGGGGTGGGGGAGCTGGGTTCCAAAGGAGAGATGATTCTTCTAAACAGGAAATGGTGACCCGCAGGCCGGGAGCAGCCCTAATGACTTGCAGCTTTCCTCCAGAAAAGAAAAAAAAAGTTCTCTAACAATCGCCAAATTGTGGCTGGCCTCCCTGAAGGGAAGTTAGGGAGTTGGGGCCAGGAAAGGGGGTGGTTTGGGCTCCGATTGGCTGAAGGCCTACTATGCTCCAGGTCCTGGATCTGGGCCCCTGACTCAGTAGGTGCTTCTGTTGGCTGTGAATAAATGATTCAGAGAGGCCTTAAAATGGAGGCCCTTAGCTACTTTTCTGAGAAAATCCACAGGAACAGGGATTTGAACTTCGTCTACCTGGTCCAGGTTTCTCAGGAGTCAGGTGCACCTACCTGGCTCATGCCCTTCCCTTTAAAGGTGCCTGGAACAAGGTCCTCCCCTCCCAGGCCGTTTTCTGCTACTGTAAAATGAGAGAGACTGGTGGGTGGATAGCAAGAGTGCGTCCCTGGGAGTCTGCAGAGAAGTGACTATGGACGTGCACTCCAGTGTCAGGCCCTGTTCTAGACTCCGGGAAAAGCCTGGAGCAGAGCTGTCCCTGCGTTCATGGAATGTTCCATGGAGTATATAACTCAGGGAATGTTCTAGACGGGAGACTGAAAACAAACAAGCGATTAAATAAGATGCTGTCCTGCTGTAGCAGGGAGGGTGGGGCTCCCGGGAGGGTGGGGCTCCCTTGGATAAGGTAAAGAGCCCTGGGGGAGGATCAGGACCTTCAAGGAATGCTTCCTCTAGCTGCTGTGGATTAAGGTGGGAGACAGGACACAGGTCCAGGTCAGGTGGAACTTTCAGGGTAGGCACCGCTGTCTGGTGGAGGATAGAAGGGGTGCTGTAAGCGTTCCACAGCAAACAAAGGCTGGAGGCTTGAACTCACTCAGCTGCTCGCGGAAGAAAGGCCTGGAAACCTGCTTCCGTTACGACTGCCAAGAAAACCCTGCATCAGTTCTGTATATCCCATCATATGGGGTCACTGTGAGTCAGAACCCAAGGAGCAGCAACAAGCCAGGGAGGGGTGCCATCTGACTGACCTTTATGTAAAGTTCATTCGGCTAAGGACGGAGCCTGGATGAAGAGGGGGCCCCGAATCAGTTGCTCCATTCAAGTGGCCAAATTTCTGGAAGTGGATCTCCCGGCCCTTCTTTCAAAGCGTCTCTGTGTCTTCTCAAACCTTCAACCTTTTTGGTCAGCAGCCAAATGCTTTAAATGCACTAATCCGGGACTTCTAAGCAAGGGTGGGGGGCGGGGGTGAGGGGGGGATGAAGAGGATGAGGAAGGCTGAGTGACAACAAAAGCTAGGAGGCTAAAACCAGAGCAGGAAGGCTGGAGGAGAGCTGGTGGTGGCCTGGCCTGGACCTGGGCCATGTCCCGGGTGAAGATGGGTTTTAAGAACATCTCACAGATGGACAACCCAGTACCAGGCAGGCCCACTTGTGCCCCCATGAGTGAGAGTTACTGGGATAACTTGGAAGGAGACGTTGACCGCAGGTGGGGGTGGTGGAGCACACAGCTTTAGCCAGGAGGAAGCCCCCTCTGTGTCCTAACACACAGTCCCGTTTCCCCCCCTCCCCCCGGCAGCAGATCGCTGAGTGAAAAACATAACATGCAGAACATGCTGCCTTTTGTGGGAAGAAGTGGCCATAAGGATGTCTATTCATACTTGTTGGTATTTGTATACAGAAACCCTGGGAGGATTTATGATAAACTCATAAAAGTGTTTCCCTAGGGGGAGCGCAGAGGGTGGGACTGGGGTGGTGGTTGGAGACAGGAGAGGGAAGGAGGAAGAGGAAACTTTTAAAAGGGATTCCTTCCTCCTCCCCAGGTATTTAATTTGAAAATCATTTAAAATTAACAGAAAAAAAAAAAAAGGTCAGGAAGCCAGGCTCCCCACAAAGCGAACGTTTGAGGGTGCTCTTTTTTGGCTTTGTGTTGGCGAGTGTGGTGACCCCGCCTTACAGAGCAGAACCGAGCTCCTCTGGGCTGCTCGGAGGCCACATTTATGGAGCTAGATCTCCAGGCCTTTGTCCATCAAACCACTGGGAGAGGCCTGAACCTCCGACGTCTTGGTTACCTTTGGAGCACAAACTGCCACCCAGGGACTTCACGCTCCCCACCCTATCTTTATTTCCAAACCATTTGACTGTAAATTGTAGGCGTGGTGCCCCTTTACCGCTGCATTTCCTAATGCAAAGTATACATTTCCTAAAAACAAGAACATTCCCTCTTCTGAGGTTGGAGCAACAATCAAGATAATGAGATTCAATATTGGTGCAATGCTGTTGTCTAATTCACAGGCATCATCAGATGTTTCCAATTGTCCCAATCACATCCTCAGTAGCATTTTGCAAGGGGAGACGGGGAAGAAGAACAACTCCATCCGGGATCATATGTCGAATTGTTTATCTCTCATTCTGAACATTCTTCAGCTTTTCTTTATCTTTTATGACCTTGACTTTTTTTTTTAAAAAAAAAAAGCCTTCCAGCCAACTATTGAGCAGACTATTCAGGTTTCCCTGATGTTTCCCCATGATTACATTTTGGTTCTGAGCTCTGAGCACAAACCCCTGGAGTGGGCTTGTGTCTGAGCGATGGATGTGTCAGAGGCACAGAATGTTGACTTGTCCGGTTTGTGATGGGGCTTCCTCGCACTGCTGGGTAAAGGTGGTGGGGCCAGCTTTTCTCATTTTCTACTTTGTACTCTCACTGTCTTGTGAGGGGATGCTTGGAGAGCGTGAGAATATCCTGTTACTCCTCAAACTTCCACCCACAAGCTTTTGCCTCTCCTGGTGATTTCTGGGTGGTGGTTGCCAAACGGTGCATTTCCCAACTTCATCAGCCCTGCTGCTTTAACTGGCAAGCTTCCGACCAGTCAGGGCTTCCCTCAGGTCCAGGCAGGGGCACCGAGCTGTGGTCTTGGAGACACTGGGGGTGGTGGGTAGCAACAGGGTCTGGCTAGACCATTAGATCCTCCCGTGGGCTTTCCTTTAAAACGAGTCCAGGAAATAAACCAGCTGTAAAGCTGATCTCCCCTCAAGTGTCTGGGCAGGCGGGGCCACTGCTGGCCACATCTGGGCTCCATTAGTGACTGGGCACCCCTCTGGGGCAACCACTGAGCTGGGCTGGGGGTGCTCGGCTGCCAGGGATCTGGGTCATTTTTACTCTTCTTTGCTCACAAATGGTAAGTTTCACAATTGTTACGGGGATTTATTGTCATTAAAAAGAAAAGAAAAAAATCACAA